AGAACTGATCATATTTTAATAGGTCTCTTCATTTTGGCAAGGGTTTTCACAGTCTGAGACTCTTTCACTAAGTATGAAGCCAAGTTTATGGGATGACAGTAAATTTAACACCTAATCTCACCTATGTGCCTGCTCCTAAATGTGTATATGTAGACATATGTTAATTTGGAGAAAGATATATTAATCCTTGCCTTAAGTAAGAACATTTATCCAGGTGACTTAAGCAATGGTCTAGGTGAGGGGAAGGCTGCAAGGGCAACAAGAGATAACACGCTTCTGGCAATTCATCAGAAAGTTTGTAAGATTGCAGGAGTCTCCTTTTCAGCTCAATTCAGCACCTCTGGAACTGCCTTCAGGGCCTCTTCATTGGTGTATGTTTTCTCTGGTGTAGACATAGAGCAATTTTTGACAGTTTTGAAGGAGAAGAAAGATTAAGTAGATGGCATAGATTTTATGGTGCTAGGAGGCTCTGGATTGCGGTGGGTTGTAAGTGTATTCTTAAAACTGAGTATGTGCTTACAACTGTTAATATATTGGAGTATTTCGATGGAAAGCCCTAGCTCAGTGAAACTCATGGGAGCAAATTCCCCTTTCAACAAACGTGCATGCATGTGAAAGTAGTGACTTCTCAAAAATATTTGGCATTTGCAACTTTCTAATAGCATGAAGGATACAATGCTGAGTAAGGAAAAGTAATTTCCATTTCCATAGCTCCTGTTGTCTGGCACTGTTGGGGAAGTCTGAGCTTTTCTTAGCGCTGCTGCCCATGTGGTATGGCTGAAAAGTGAACTTCTGTCTGTCAGGCTTTCCACCAACACCTTGTGTAAGCAGTAATCCAAAGGATCCTCCCTCACTCCTCCTCTGAAGTGGCACATTTAAGCTTCTCCTGTTTTCATAGTGTATATATCATAGGTATCATCTGCATATGTGTTTGAAAAGGATAGAATCCTTTGCCAGTGAAAGCAGGTCTTACCCTTATCGCATGTGTAATTAGTTACTTACACGGGCTCTGCACAAAGAAGTTGAGAATATATATTTTTTTAGTGAGTACACTTCTCTATTAATCACTTAAAATAGTACAAGAGAAGCTTAATCACAGAACTTTAGAGTATTTTAGGGTATTACTTAGAGTAAATTAAGAGATTGCAAGCTTCTGTACCTTTGTAGCTCATCAGACAGAAGAGGTTTTGCCTTGGTCTGAGGCTGCTGTTGAAAAATAGTGCTTCTTGAGTAACTACCACCTTTAGGCCAATATCTTAGAGAATGCACCTAACATTCATTGACTTTGCAGCTGTATTGATTCTTACAGTTTGGCACAAGACCTATCAACCAATTTTTACAAAAAACCTTGTTTGGGGGTTTTCACCCGGGCCAGTTATCAAAACATCAGGCTGCGCTTGCCAGCTGTTGCAGGGAGAGTGAGGAAGAGGTAGGGCAGTCGCTGCACTTTTCCTTCCCAACAGACAGGAGAACTGATCAGGTTTGCAGGACAACATGTACCCCAGCAGAGAGTTCAGCTTCAGAAAAATAATTTCCTGGGGCTTCTGTGACAGCAGCACAAGCTATCACTTACCTGAGTACAGAGCTGTGGACCTTTGATCCCCCGTTACATTTACAGCTTTTATAAAGTCTCTGACATTACCCATTTCTTGAGGCTCCTGTTGGCAAGGTGCTGCCAATCTGTTGAGTTGTCTTGGCTGTCTGGTGGAGTTCAGGTACTTCGATCATGAAGTTTTGTAGCAAGAAAACTGATCAGCACACCAAAGAAAGATGGTGCTCCATGTTTTATAACCTTGTGAATCTTGCAGCTTCATTGCCCACAGCTTAGAAGGCAGAGCGCTGTGGAAAACAGCAATTTAAACAAAGTTTTAAAATTCAGAGGTAGTATCTAACTGGGATTAGGAATGTGAGTTTGGTGCTGGCGTGGAAAACACATACATTCAGTTATTTAAATAAATGATGGCAACTGGTATAAAGGAATAAAGTTCCATTTTCTGTTCCCGTGATGACTCTGCACTAGACAAGTTGTTTTCCTTAGTTCCCAAGGTGAAAGAAGCAGCTGCCTTCATCCCTCTCCTGGCACAGAGGAAGGTTCCAGTGTCAAGACCAGAACAAGAAGGTAGATTATTTTTATCCTATGGTATTCATTTTCCTGTGTATTGTGTGTTTTCATGACAACCTTTATTACCTAAGCCAAAACCAGTTTAAAAGCCTTTAACATAAAACAAAGGTTTAGCGAGCGCATTAGAGACAGTATCTGGCCAACCCATTCTGTCAGTTCCAATGTGAGAAGCTGCTTTTGTGCTTTTCAAAACATACTTCAACTGCTTATAAGCCAGGTATAGAATGTCTCCCCACATTGAAACTTGACTTGCAATTGAATTTCACTTGCTTTATTTCAGAGTTGTGAAAAAATAAAGTAGTTTTGGTTGTCTATAAAATGAAACCATGTTAGTGTTGCATAGCAGACAGCTGCATCCCAAAGTCCTTCAGCCATATTCTCTTGGGTTTTCTCCTGGTCCTCTGTCGGAAGTCAATAGGAGTTTCCCCTGAACAAGATTGAATAAGTATTTACCCTAAATCTTAAATAGCCTGCCTATGATTTTCTGATTGTTCCCAATTAGTCTCCTCTGGACTCGTTCTAACAGGTTCAT